ACAGCTACATGAAATAATGAATCTAACCTACCTTATACCATATACAAAAATTAACTCAAAATGGATTAAAGCCTTATATTTAAGACCTGGAATTCATTAGAAGAAAATATAGGCAATAAGCTCTTTGACATCTGCCTTAATGATATCTTTTTTGTTTGTTTGTTTAAGATTTATTTATTTATTTATACAAGCACTGGGTACAGTCAGAAGCGCGGGAGGGTAAGAGGATTCACCAGAGCCAGAGCGGGTAACAGAACAGGCAGACTGACGAAATACACTGCTGAAGGGAGCAGCGGGTGCGGCAGGAGAGGTCTGTTGCGCCATATGGGACCCTCGCCAGCTGCCAGGGATCGAACCGGCGCTGCAGAGGCTGTGGGCAGCTTCACAGCTCAGTGCTCAACTGCTGCGCCACTAGGGGAGGGCCTGCATTAGTGGTATTTTTATAGATTAATACCCAACAGCATGAGAAATAAAAAAAAAAAATGAACAAATGGGGCTGCATCATACTAAAAAGCTTCTGCATAGAAAACACTATCAAAATGAAAATGTAGCTTACTGAATGCTGAAGATATTTTCAAATCACATGTCAGACAAGGGATAAATATTCATAATATATAAATATCTCATATGACTCGACAACAAAAAATACATCCTGTTTAAAAAATGGGCAAAGAATCTAAACAGACATTTCTCCAAAAAAGACATAGAGATATTGGATCAACAGGCCAACAAGAAAAGGTGTTCTACATTGCTTATCATTAGGAAGATGCAAGTCAAAATCACAGTGACTTTTACCTCACAAATGACTATTATCAAAAAGTTAAGAAATAAGTATGGGAAAAGAAGTGGAGAAAAACAAACCCTTGTGCACTGTTGGTAGAAATGTAAATTGGTACAGCCACTATGAAGAACAGTATGAATATTTCTCCCACAAAATTAAAATTTACAACTACCATATGATCCAGCAATTCCACTTCAGACTATTTACCAGAAGAATACAAAAACACTAATTCAAAAAGACAGTTGCACTCCTGCACTTACTGCAGCACAATTCACAATAGCCACAATATGGAAACAACCCAAGGGACATTTATGATGATGGATTAATGGATGAAGAAGATGTGGTATATGTAATGGAACACTACTGAGCCATAAAAGTAAGATGAACTCTTGCCTTTTTGACAGCATGCGTGGGTCTTTAGCATATTATGCTAAGTGAAATGAGTTTGAAGGGGAAAGACAAATATCATATGACTTTGCTCACATGTGGAATATAAAGGGGAAAAAAGCAAGGACACAAACAAAACTAAAACAGAAAAAGACCAGTAGACTCAAAACAGAATGGTGGTTACCAAAGGGAATGGAGGGGAAGGAAGGGATAGAGGAGACTGGTTGTTGATGACTGGTTGTTGATGACTGGTTGTTTATGACTGGTGATGACTGGACATTTGGTGTTGAACATGGTGGTAGTGCGATATAAAGAAATTACATATCTTAAATAATTACAGTGTTGTAAGCTAATGTTACTTGAATAAAGAGGAAAATAAAACAAAGGAAAGCAGAACAAAACCCAAATAATATTTACTGGAAGAGAAGGGAAAAAAAATGACTGGGAGAAAAAGGTAGAGGAGGTCAGTTTGATAGTTTGGAATGACAACAGAACTTTCGTGATGGGTGAGCTGTAGTGCATGTATTTATAGAGGTATAAAGTTGTACTACTGAAACTTATATAGTTTTGTAAACTTACATAAATTAATAAAGAAAAATTACATGAAAATGAAAAGATTATGGTGTTTCAAGTTTGTTCTTTCCAGAAGTTTGGTTCACCAGGGAGTACAGGCCATGCTAATTAAAAGATGATGTTGAAATGATAAAGGTTTTGTTTTTGTTTTTGTTTTTTTATTTTATTTAACCATTATTGTGATTTTTAAGAAATGGTGGAATTAGAGAGGGATACTCCAGTAGGTATAGAAATCTTTCAGACATAGAAGAGGGGTCATGAATGATACAGTGGGTGTAGATGTGGGAGGAAATAGCAAATGTAGGCTATTTTGTCTTAGGAAGAAGTATGCATTTTCCTCTGAGGCTGCAGAGGAGGAGACTAACCATTGATGACTTTCAAAATGGTAAAAAGATAGAAATTTGGGGGAATCTCTGGACTAATAGCCTGAATTTTAGTTATTTAATGAGGAGCTATATTGTATAGTAAGAGTGAATGCAAAGATGGTTGGGTCAGAGGACATTTTGGAGTGACAGTGGGTAGAGAAAAGCACAAGATTTCTGGATACTGAGGAGCTCGCTCTCAGTCTGCATTTTCATCAACAATATTCCTGTTTGATTTTCTTTTGAGCACTCAGTAACCTGATGTGGGAGATAGGAAATTGTTCAGTTTTCCCAAAGTTGGGAAAGTTTTATTTTCCAAAGTTGGTGGTTTTGTTGTTCAGTTTCATTGGATGAACACTTTAAAAAAGGAATTTGATATGTGAGCAAGAGATTGGCTCAAGTGAAAATGAAGGAAATTAGATTAAAGAGTCTGGATTTAAAGCCAATAGCAAAAATTATCAAGTAATCAATTTGACAATGAAGAGCAGATGTATCAGAAGAAAAAGTGTAAGAGGACTGGGCAGATTGGTAGATAAAGCAGGTGTGGCAGGGTGAGGGCAATGATCGGAGGGTGGGAGCTGAGAGGGTGGGTGAAATTGAAATGGGTTTTAGGACCCACCTCTTGCTGCTAAAGTGGTAGTTCTGAAAACACCCTGAGAGTTTAATGGGAGTCAGTGACTGAAGAGGCATGAAGTTAGGTTCATCTGAGACTCTGGAAACTTTGCAAAGAGTTAAAAACATGGTATCTGGAGTCAGACTGTCTGGGTCTGAATTCATTCCCTTACTTATTTGGTATGAGATCTCAGGCAACTTACCAGGCACTGATTACCTAGGTCTAAAATAGAGATAATAATAGTGCCTTACTTTAGTTTTGTGGTGGAATTGAATGAGGTAATTCATATAAATCATTTGTACAATCTCTTGAGCAATTCAAGTACTCAATAAATTTCAGTGGTAGTAATTTTATTATTCATGTCATCATCATTACTGCTTTTTAAATTATTGTTACTAGCTCCTTTTCATTTAGATCTCACTTTGTATATCCTAGCAGAGACCCTCCCTTGGCACCAGAATCTAGACCCCTTTGGGTGCTTGTACATCACTTTATAGCACCCATCATTATCCACCGTAAATTTATCTGCTAGTGTGAATGTATTTCCAGTGTTAACTTCTTTGGTGTTGAGGTCAGATCTTATTCCTATTAATATAAATAAGTGCTGGACACATAAGAGGTGTAACCACTTTCTTGGGGTATTTGTTGTGGCAAAAAAAAAAAAAAATTATCTCTCTTTTGATGTGGAAATCATTTGTTAATAAAGTTAATTTCTAGCACAATGGTAAAACTTTTAGATAAGGGCAAAAGGGTAAGCTACGATCATTAATTTTCTGATCTCATTTTAAAATTTTCCACACAAACAAGTGCACAGTTCTCAATTTACTATATTTTTGGTGGATGGATAAAGGAATGACTCATCTCTTCCAGACTGCATTGAATTTAGCAAACCCTGCAAATGCAAACCTGTTGCTCAGAAAATGAGCTTGTTTTTGAGGCATTATTACTACCTTTTTTTTTGTGCCATAATGTCAACCATGATTTTAATCATGAGAGAAATATTTAGTTTTATTTGAGCCACAGTTCAGGGCTAGTGGAATCTGGAACTGAATATTCTGCTGCTTGTGCCAGAGGAAGTTGGTAAATATTTCCAGTTTCCATTTGTAGGAGCCTTTGGATGTAGATGGTATTTATTGTTTGTTCAGCTATCAGCATCATCTTAGCCTTCTGAATCCAATCTTATTTGGACACATGACCTTTTCATGTTCCCTTTGTTACCCCAGGTATTTGGAAACAAAGGCTCAATGGGGAGCTTCATGGGACACGTTGTGAGCACTTACTTCTGAATTTGCCACTCCCTCCAAGGCTACACATGTTTATCTTAATAATGATAGCATGCCTTAATTTGTATAAAATTTCCTGTTAACTTGAACTGAGATATTTGCCCATTCTACTAAAATTAAAAATATGTATGAATCATTATGACAGTATAATTTCAAAATGCATTGTTGCCTGACTGAGTTTTACGAAAGTTAATTTTTAAGATTTCATGTGTCTTTCTTGATCACATAGGTATTTAAAAAATCACTTCTATGGTGGGGTCTCCCATGGTGGCGCAGCGGTTGAGCGCTGGGCTGCGAGGCTGCCCGCAGCCTCTGCTGCGCTGGTTCGTTCCCCAGCCGCCGGCGAGGGTCCCACACATACACACACACACACACACACACACACACACACAAAAAAAAAAAAAAATCAGTTCTATGGTTATTCATGTAAGCTTGAGATAGGTGCCTCAACTTTTAGCATGATTGATATGACTGGAATACCTATAAACATTTTATTAAGAGCCTTTTAAGTGAACTTTTAAATAGTACTATCTATGCTGATGTTTCCATTGTTAGTGAACTTTTTTTGGTTGCAGATATTTTATAAGAAATTCTATGTGCTGTCAGAAAGTAAAGTGTTACATATGATTACTATTAATAGTTCTCTGACAATGATACATTTTAAAACATTGATGTTTCTACAATTAGACAAGGCACTATGTTATTGCTAAACTAATGCATGTGGCTTTTCATCAATAGTGCCTTCTATTTTAGTGATACTTAATTGCAAAATACCTACTTTCCCTCTTTGGATATGGAGTAAAAAAGAAAATATTTCTATAAAAATTATTTCTAATGAATATAATTATTAAACATGTGGAGAGGGACTTATATTTTCTACATTGATTGCTAATGAAATTTAATACAGATTATTCCCATTTCAGTGACAGTAGATTTTTGCTTGATATTTTATTTGTTTTGATAATAATATGTTCCTAATATTCCACATGCTTTATTTCTAGTATTTAACAGGTGAATTGGAGAGCAGGGAAAAACAGCAACTAAAGATGTTGGATCAACTTAAGGAGATCCAGAATCACTTTCAGACATGTGAGGCCAAGCAAAAGCGTGCTGACCTCCAGATCTCAGAACTGACTCTCCATGCCGAGGATGCAACCAAGCAGGCAGAGCAGTACCTCCTGGAGTTCCAGCAGTCAGAGTCCCTGAGACAGGAGGCTGAGAAGAGGAGAGAAGAGCTGAAACTGAAGGCTCAAGAGTCCATTAGGCAATGGAAGCTTAAGTATAAGAAGTTAGAACGAGAATTGGACAAACAATCTGAAACCCTTGATCAACTGACAGACAAGAATAACCAGGTAAAAAAGTCATATTCTTAAGGAATGATTTTTGACATGACCAGCCATTTGTTCATCTATTCTTTGTATAATCACTTCAGTGCCATGCTATGCATATAGTCTATCAAGATGTCCTTGACAGAAGAGTCTATGTCTTGGCCATTTCAAGGTAGAAAGTAATTTAGCTTTTCGTTATTTTATAGCTTTTTTTTTAACCGGTGAACATTCTATGGCTTTTTAGAGTTGGCCTTTGAAATAGACACCCCTTGCCCTGAATTTAGCTTTTCACTAAATTGAAATTATTCAGTTGAAGTTATTCTTTAATATTCAAGTGGAAGAAAATCACTAAATCTTCCCCAGCATTTTATGACTTTTCCCCAATGCATGTATTTTAAAATCTTATTTATTTTTTATTTGGATATGTCAATTTAAGTGTTGGTTAGAAAGGAGCATTTAAAACTGCAGTACCACTGCTAGACTACTTTTCTGGCAGCAGCTACAATGGGCTCAATTCAATGAGTAACATTGATATTCTCACTGACGAGGTAGTGTTACCGAATCCCAAGTCTCTTGAAGACTCTGCTTTTGTGACCTTTTGATAGCACCAAAACACATTTCACTGATCTGTGTATGCATTTCACATCGTCCTCTCTTTTGTATAATCAGTTACTTTAAATGGATTTTATGCGCTTATGCTGATTCTCAACTATATCTTTGGGTTGAATTATAAGATAATAAACAGAAAAGTCATGATTGATTTTTATCCATGTTTAGTTTTGGTTTATCATTTTTGCTTTGTTATTTGTTACTTGTTACGAATTCTGGACATTCCAGAAGACCAATAATCATTTGTATTAGTTGATTTTCTTTCAAAGGAAAGCAAAATGTAGTGTAACTATATTTATAAAATCAATTGTCAACACCAAAGACTGACAGATGCTTATTTCAGATAAGATGTCATGGAAAAGATCTTTTACCTTTTGCATATGAATTTCTCAGCCATTTAGAAATGATGGAAGGTATTGCTTTGCACACACTGTGGAGTGCTCTTGAATGGAACCCAACTTACATAGACTGAGTAACTGGTTGCCCTGAGGTGAAGCAGGTCTAGAGCTTTTAGACTTGACTGTGAACCGTTTTGATCTCAGGAAATTCTTCTATCTTAATTATTCTGTTGTCAGCTTATTCTGGCAACTGGTTAAAAGAAACTGACTATAAGGGAGGTGGCTAGAGAAAGGAGTGGTTAAGCGGATTGATTGATTGAGAGTCACTTGGAGATTTTATTTAACAAGAGGAAATTTAGAAGGGTCCATGTCATCAGACAGTATCCTAATCCATAGTGCTAAGAGTTTTCTAGACTGAGCTTTTCAGAATATTAAAAATTGTTAAACAATCATTTCCCAGCATACTCCTGATATAATTATTTTTATCACTTAGCATTGCTAATGATAAGCAAAGAAGTAGTTTTAAAGTGATTGCCACAGTTAGGGTAGTATCACAATTATCACAGCAGGCATTGTAATTTCCACTTTAAAAGCCTTAAAAATTAATGCAGCATGTTGCAGTTAGAGCAATGGTTAACCAAGGAAGAAAGGGTAACAGATATTTCATGGCAAATTCAACTGTCCAGTAAGTCTGTGATGTGGAAATATGTGGCAAATAATTTTAGGGGAAAAGTTTATATTTTTTTACATCTTAATAATATCTTTAAGGGGTTTTTGATTCTTAATAAAATCATACCTTAAGGCATTAGTAATTTAGACCACTCCATTTTGTTTTTAAGGATTGATTATTTTCAAAAAGTGACTCCAGGGTATATTTGGAAGCATATATTAAAATAAAATTGATACTAATTTAAAGATATAACACATTATGATTTAAAGAATACATTGTTTAATAGGTAACCTTGTTGAAGTGATTTATATGCTCAAATGATGCCATCTTTGTGTATGCAAATTAGTTCTATGTCTACTTTCATTCTTTTTCTAGTGTAATTTCTGCTTTAAGATTTGCCACTTAGCATATACTTAAGGGCTAAATGCTTTTATTTTCTTAAAAATTCTACTTTTCTCCTTTGCTTTTATACACTTTTGGAATCTTGGTAAGATTTTTAGATATATAATATGATTATAGAACTACTTTATTACTGTAGGATATGGAATATCAAGCAAATAACATTGCAAAAAATAGCAAGGATCTGATTTTCAATACAGTGGCTTGGGTATTTACATCAGTAAATGATGATGTGCTTTAGAGATATGTGGATGAACACATATTGGAGTATGCAAAGCTCTATAGGTACCAATAATCTAGTCACAAATTTTTTTTGGCCTTTTTCTCTTAAAGTATCATTTTAAGTCATTGATTTTTGTATTTGCCCTGAAAATGATAAGGAGATCAAATTTGAATTCTGATCATAGTGTGTACTTTTTCAATGTTTCAAATTATATATGTTTTGACTTGGATAATGGGAATGCTTCCTAGTTTTTTATTTTTTATTTTTTTGCTATATTTGCAGAATAATTGATTTCCCTGTAATTAAGCCTTTTGCTTCAGATTATTTAACTTTAAGAACCTTAAATTGCCATCTTTTCCTTCCGTGTAATACCTTCATGTTTAGGGAGAAAATTGCCATACATAATATATACTGTCTTTTAAAGTTTGATTTTTATTTTTAAGATTGAAAAGTAGAAAGGATCAGTGCTAAAGTGTGTACGTTCTTAATGTGTATGCAGTCCTCTCATATGCAATTTGAGGAAGACTAGAGTACCTCTGTATTAATATAATCTATCAATCTGCATATTCCCTCACATGCAAAAAGATAACTGTTCTTTTTAAAATTTCCTTGCCTACCTTTTAGTTAATTCAGAGAAGCACGTCTATTTTTTGATCAGGTCTTTGAGGAGTTAGCTGTTGTTTCTATAAACACCATGGTTTGGAAAAGTCTCTTTCTTCTGGCTTCACACAGCCATTTCATTCCTTCTTTCTGTAATTTTTCCTTACTTCTCTCATTGTCCCTTGCTGCTACTTGTTTTTTCCATTATGCCTCCATATTTCTCAGCCATTTAGCACCTCACTTCCCACAACCTGTTTCATTACATGTAATTCTTGCAATTATCCTTGGTGACTTCAGAGTTCAAGTCAGCAGCCCATTGAACTCTGTATATTTATACTCCATTAATTTCCTGTTTTACAGGGACCTTCAAATCACTCAGAACTAATTTGTGGGGCTAAAATTTATCATCATCTGTAATTGCTGTATGTTAAAATATTCAGTTCCAAAATCTCCGCTTCTGCTCTTACACATCTTTCATTCCCTTTTCTTTCTTTTTAACCATTCCTACCTGATCTTTTGTATCCTCCTGCATTCCTCTGGTTGACCAGTTATTTCCTGAAAGCAGTTTTTTCCTGTCAGACTGGACTCATGAACCGCTACTCTAATGACATGCTCATCAGCATCTTCAATTTTTTCCTCCCATTTCATGCATTTTACCACTCTTCATTAGGAATCAACCCAATTCTTCACTTTTTCCATTCCTGCTCCTGCATAGTACCAACAAAACCTACAGGGAAATATTATTTGACTCTTAGAGTGGTTTTGGATATTCCAAAACCCACTCCAATCCATTTCCAATGGATTCCAACCCAAAAATTAGTGTAAGTCACATACTAGTCATATAATCCTTTCCTAATCATTGATGAATGAACTGTGAAATTTGTTGGGGAGCTTCTGGTAAACATTTACTCACTCCCTAAAATGATACACAAGAAGAGAGATTTTTCTCCTTCTCTGGATATTGCTCTATTTTGTAATAATGCCTAGAATGACTGAAACTATCTTGCTATGGACCTGAGAATGAAATTTCATACAGAGGGAGGGTATTACTGTGAGAATTACAGAGAAGTGGATCTAGAGCTTGACATGCTACATACAGAGCAGTTTTACCTGGAACCATAATTAATTGCCTTGTTGTTTAAGTGAATTCGAATTAGAATTTTTCTCTTACTCTCAGCAGAAGAAATTCAAGTTGATGTGAAGCTTTAATTCTAGGGTTAGGGAGTATAAATAAAATAACCTAAAATGTAGAATTGCTAAGTGGAGAAAAAAGATGGGGGAAGGGAGTATTATATTTTTCTAAGGGGAAAGTTAGCAAAATTATGCTTTGGAAATGGTTAAACTGTCAGAAATCCTACTTTGGGGCACTGAAGCTGTTCCTCAGAGTATTGTATAAAGTGGCCAGTGGGAAAACTTTAGGCATACGTACTTTCTGTAGTCTTCAGAGAAAGACAAATGTAGGTTGAAGCTGGTCTGTTTAAAGCAGAAAGTAATAGTTTTGGGGTTGGGAAAGCTGAAATCTATAACCAGTAATCCAAGTGGACTGAGTCTGAGAATTTGGAGTCTTTTAGGATTGGAAAAGCCAAATTATTTGTCCATGCTGAAGTTGGTCCAAGCAAGAGGAGTTGGAAATTTAGGAGAAATAGAAATGAAGTTAAAAAATAAGCCTGATTTCTCAGACCCCTTTCAAGTACTTATGTATTTCTCATCAGTGGGAACCAAAGTCTGTTGTTTGAGTTCCCTAAAGACAAAGGCTATTCAACATAGTTCCTATGAGAATGTCCAGGATATTGAGGTGGTGCACATCAAGTCTGACATTTTCAGACTCAGAGACAATGTCTAGACAAAGTCTTGGGCTACAAGCGATTATCCAAAAACAAAGACACAGAACTTACTTTGTTTTTAGCATCTATATTGCCAAAGAAATTCCAAATTTGATGACATAGTCACTGATTGTGCATCTTAAGGCTGTCGCCTTTGGTATGATTTGATATAATGCTTGGAACACTGAGGAGGAGGCCAAAACCTGGAGAATTATAGAGTAGCAGATTCTGAAACTTGAAGGACTCTTGAACTGTCCTATCATGTTCCTGTTATTAGAGGTAAAAAAAATCCTCGCTACTTAAACCAATTTCAGGAATATATTATTTTGCAAAGATATTTTTACCTGATAGAGCTTCACATAAAAACATGATTTTTTAATTTTAGGGCTGCCTGAATAATCTCTTAACTCATGACCAAAGGATTATGTTATCTGTTGCAAATGAGAACTACCTCTCATTCTCATTCTGTGCTCCTCACACTTTCCCTTTATAGTCAAGACTTGAATAATTTCCCACAGATGTCTTCACCCATATGATGAGTTATTACTCCTTGATTATGTTTTGTATTTTCTCACAGTTGACCATAAGATAAGGAGGTTATCTAGGATGCATCTAATTGAATGAAAAGAGACCTTAAAAGTAGAGAAATTTTTCTGACTTTTGGGAAAAGGGGAAGTCAGATTCAAAATAGTAGAAGGATTCAATGTGCTATTGTTGGCTTCAGAGACAGAGGAGTCCATGAGCCAAGGAATGCGTGTGGCCTTCAGAAGCTCACAGCTGGCTCAATTTGCTGGCTGAAAGCTAGCAAGAAATAGGGATCATATTCCTAATCATGTAGAACTAAATTTTGCCAGTGACATGAATGAACTTAGAAGTGGATTCTCACCCAACATTTTCAGATAAGAGTCCAGCCAGCTGACACTTTGATTTTAACTTTAGGAGACCTAAGCAAAACATCTTGCCTGGACTTAAGATCTATGGAAACAGTGAAATTATATGTGGATATTGTTTTAAACCACTAGGTTGGTTGGAATTTATTGCACTGTAATAGAAAAAACATCATATCTACCCTTAGGCTTATCTATATTTCATTCATTTTCCCTGCCTTTCCAAAGTGAACTCTATGTTCTAGAGACTCCCTCTACAGAGATGTGGCTTTATTCCCTCTTTTTAGAGTTTTGATCTTGCTTAGATATCTCCCTGAGATCTTGTTTTCTCCTCAAAATTAAATCCCACTCCTATATTTGGTTTCCGATTTCCCACTAATCTTCATCATAATACTATAAGTAACATTATTATTGTTTCTGAAAGATAAATACTTTTTCTTAAAGTTGTAAAACTACTCATGACTGGGTGGATAATCAAATTTAGTTCTCTCTTGTCAGAGCTCACCTGCTCAATCACGTACTTTTATTATTTCTCTGTGAAGTTAGTTTCATATGTTTCTCCCTGTTAAGATAGAGAGTAGAGAGGGATTTGAGGAAACCTTTTTTTTTTTTTGAGTGATTGACGCATAATATTTTATCATGAATTCTTTCATATGGAATGAAATGTAGGGTGTAAAAATGTCTTGCAACTGTTTGCATTTTAATTCACTTCTAATTCTGAAATGAGAATCTTAATTTTTTTTTTTTTTTTTTCTGAGTCAGGCTATGGTGGGCATCATTATATAGGTACCCAGAATGAATCCCCTTGGCGCTAGTTCTGGGCCAGAAAGCAATCTTGGCTTCCTTAGAGTCTTACATTTTTCAATTATATTGATGAGTGGTGAGGGTTAGTTATATTTGTTTCTGTCCCTCCTTGTAAACCCTAACCTCCTAAAGAGACTGGCAGAGGGTGGCAGATGTCTGGCCCCTTGAATTTTTTTCTTGAGTCTGTCCCTAACCTCTCTTAATCTTAAATTAATATCCTCTCTACCTTTGTGGAATTTCCAGACTTCCCTTAGATACTGGTGTGTTTCTTGTCACTACTCATGCTATTTTATTAGTAATGATTGACTGAACCATAACCTTTCTTAGATTGCATCAGCATGCTTTCCTATATTATCTTTCATACCTGTTTTGAGATTTCTCCTTTCTAAGAGTGTGTCATTGAAATGAAAATAACTGTTATTTTACATAACACTATATTATGTCAACCTCTTGTAAATTAGAGGAATCCTTCTCTTCCCCTTCTGCTCATCTTATTTTACATTTAAAAAATAATAATTTATGATCAAAGATTGATATGTTTTGGTAATAAAAATCTGAAACATATATTGCAATTATCCTCCTTTAGGATAATTATAGTCTTCTTTCTTTTTCTAGACTAAAAATATTTTTCATTAAAAAATGGAAATAATAGTGTTATTTGATGACTTTTGCTTTGCTTTGTGGATTAAACTTTGTTTTCTGGTAGTCTCTATGGTAAATTTCACAGTAACTTTTTTTGTTTTGTTTTGTTTTATGTTATCAACCTGGTAGATTCTAAAAGAAAAGGATGAAATGAAAAGCCAGCTTTACGCAGCGTTACAGCAGATAGAGAACCTGCGAAAGGAATTGAATGATATCTTAACTAAACGTGCCCTTCAAGAGGAGGAACTTCTCTCTAAAGAGAAGAAACTAAGTGATGTGAAAGCTCATCAAGCTGACCTTGAACTAGAAGTCAAGGATTCTGTGGACACCATCCATAGGCTAGAAATTGAGTTGAAAAAGCAGAGTAAGATTCAAACTCAGTTGAAGGCTGAGAAAACTCACCTGGAGGAGGAAATTGCAGAGTTAAAGAAGAGCCAGGCCAAAGACAAAGCTCAACTGCTTGAGATGCAAGAGTCTGTCAAGGACTTGAGTGCCATTCGAGCAGATCTCGCTAGTAAATTGGCTGAGGAACAGAGAGCCAGGAAAGAGGTGCTTAAGAACCTTTCTGACCTCAAGGCACAGGCAAACTCCAAAGATGAAGAAACAGCTACAGTCATCGCACAGTTAAAGCTAGAACGAGATGTTCACCAGAGGGAGCTGAAAGATCTCACATCGTCATTGCACAATGTGAAAACTAAACATGAACAGAATATCCACGAACTGATGAAGCACTTCAAGAAAGAAAAGAGTGAGGCTGAGGATCATATTAAGACACTGAAGGTACCTGCGCTGAATTATCCTGATGATACTGAAGGAATTTTTCTGGTGGCTCATGAAGTTAATAAAGTGTAAACTTTAGAGCTCGTTCTGTATTCCCAAGCACTGAAGGGAAGATAAAACTAACAATAAAGAGGCTTATTCATGTCTGTTCGGCCAGGTTGAAATGAGTTATAGCAGCCACCTGGGAGTGCCTGTTGGAGAGCATTGAAACCCTTTAAAAAGAACACTTAGCTATTTTGGGAGTTCAGGAAAGGCAGAGGTGGCAGTAAGTTGTGGACCTGACATGTGCCCTCATCCAACATTTATGACCTCCTAAAATATAAAAGGCAAAGACTTGTCAAGGCCATAGAAGCTATAACCACAGTCCTTATTAATTTGGTAACTAAAGTGTGTCAGCTTATAAGCTGTGTAAACCCAAGGCTGTTGAATTTACCCCTCTTTTCCAAATCAGAGTTGCCTGGGTAAATATATAATCGAGATCTTGAATTTGGGGAGAAGTTGCTAAGGGAAATGATAATTGGCATTATCACCATGCAGGGGAGTTATTTCATAATAACTTGTCCTCCACTTGTCCTCAATTTGTGGAGAAGGTCTATGAGGAGGTGTGCGAAGGTAGATCAAAAAACAATGGATAATGTTCAACAGGTGACAGTGTGGTAAATCCAACCCTCCTTCCTTTATTTTTTCTCCATAGCACTTACAATCGTACATTATATAGGTTACATATTTATTTCAAAATCTTCCTTTATTAAATGAAAATTCTATGAGGACATGGATTGGGTCTGTTCTGTATATAGCTATATCCCCTGTTCCTAGTCCAGATCCTAGAACATTGTAAAATATCTGTTAAATAGGTGAATAAATGGCTAAATCTTCAAAGGTTAATTATATTTTTTTCAGAATTCTTTGAAATGTAACTACTATAAAAATGCTTATGATGAAAGATGAAATTATATTGAAATAGCTGACATATGTAGAATGCTTTCATTTATTTTATGAATTCTCTCTAAGTCCTATATAGCCTATTGGCAGTAGTGGATTTGGGGTCATTAATTGGGGTGAAGAGCAGAATGGAGCCTGAAAGAATCAGAAAGAGACCTTTACTGTATCTATTGAACCTAAGATACTATCAGTTGTAAGATGCATCATTGTTGTGTGCTACTAAGAAAAAAAAAATGCTGCCTATGAAAACACAACAGGCTATTAGCTGTAAGACAACATCCCAAGAAAGAGGTAGTAAAATATTAAAAAATAGACATAATAATATTGATGAAATATAACATAGTAGTGTTTCTGAGTTGATGAGGAAATAAAACAAAGGTAGAAAAAATATGGAGAAGAGTTGCTATTAAGTAAAATATATATCATATGTTAATTGATTAGCTGTGACAACAATAATATTAGGAAGCATGTTTTCAACACTGACATTGTGCTAGTCATTACTATGAGAATTTTACTTTATGCTAATCTTCTAGTACTCATATCCCTCTATATGATGTGGCATTATTTTCTCTCTGATAAGGAAACGGAGACACAGGAAATTAGGTAATTTAGGCAAGTCTTCCAACTAGAGAGTAATAGAGACAGGGTTTGAACCCAGGTCACTGAGTGCCTATATTCTTAACTACTTTGCTGTACTGGGAAAGGTACAGGATCAAGGATTATTCGATAATGACTTGGGTGACTAGGTGGATAGTGGGGCTGTTTGTCAAGATAGATAAATAAAGACAGCAGATTTGGAGAGGACAATATTTAATCCAGGTTTTGGCATGTTGAGTTAGGTGGAAGTCAACTTAAGCCTAACTGTGACAATATAGAACATAATTGGTTAGGAGTTGAAGAAGTTAAATTTACATCGGGAGCCAGTAAGCCATATGTGATAGTTGAAGTTGCTGTGTTCAAATGAGTCGTACAGGGAAAAAGAAAAGAGTGAAATGCTAGAATACCAGTGTTTAAGGGAATAAATTGTGAAAACAGATATAGAAAATAAAAATAAAGAACCATATGAAAGACAGAAAGTGACATAGAAAGGAAAGTTGTGTTGGGAATCCAGGTAGGATCTTTCCAAAAAGATATAGTCAAGAGTGTCCTATATGGCAGATAGACTAAAAGAACTGAAGAGGCATTCATTCCACTTGTCCTCAATTTGTGGAGAAGGTCTATGAGGAGATGTGCAAAGGTAGATCAAAAAACAATGGATAACGTTCAACAGGTGACAGAGCACCTCTCCTGAGCAGGGGAGGGGGGGCGGGTAGCGTGATCCGCGATTGTTGATGGCAGTCTCTTTCTTCTCTTTGAAGTAGAGTAGAGCAGTCTTTCAGCAAGTAATTTATGAGTGATGAGGTTGTAAGTGGCTGTGAAGACTCATGTAAACTGCAGGAGACTAGTTCGGGAGCATGTAAGATACTGCTTTGTCGTTAACAATGAAGAAGAGTTATCATGGACAAAGGAATGAGAGTGAAAGGATCAGAATCTGTGGCCATAGATTGCTTTTTTGGTCAGGAATTCTTATATTGCAGGTTAAATTTTCAGAGTTGTTTTTTTTTTTTGGTGGGACCCTTGCCGGCGGCTGGGGAACGAACTGGCGCTGCAGAGGCTGCAGGCAGCCTCGCAGGCCAGCGCTCAACTGCTGCGCCACTAGGGGAGGCCCTAAATTTTCAGAGTTAAGTTTCAAGGATTGGTTATGTTGTTGTGGTTGCTGTTGTGGAATATGGACGTAGGTGGTTGGAACAGAATAGATCACATAAGTTAGATGTCAGCTTGCTGGATCACTCTTTGGATATTTATGATGCTACTGTGAAGGCATCATGCTAAAGACTTCAACGAGATGATGACTAGGCAGTCATCTCAGCTATATCAGCAAGGAAGGGAGAGCAGATGAAAAATAGTATGAATGTCAAGAAAGGCAGAGTTTATGCATGAGCACCAGTATGTAATGATTTGTTTTGTTAAGTTTGAGAAATGATTCTTTTTTAAGAGCTTAGTTTTCTCGAGAGTAGTGTTGAAACTACAACCTCATTTCCTTCTCACGCTATTGCTGACCTATTTCAGGCTCTCAGCACAGTTATTTAGGTTATGTGATAACATGCATGTCAGCAGGAGTTAGTAATCATTTAATCAGTTGGTGTTGATTTAAGATCATCTCTATAAGAACAGCATCCTCACATTCTGATATGCTTTTTTGAGTTGCAGATAAAGTCAGGAGGCACAGCCCGCTTGACTGACATTGTACTTGCTAGTGGATGCATTAGCATACGAACAATATATCAGGTGTCATAGGAAAATAAAACAGTATGTAGGACGCTAGTTTGGATTACAAAGGAAGGCTCTAAGTAGCCTCCCTCCTTCCTCTTAGTTCCTCTATTTTTAATTTTATAGATTTTTTACATCATTGTTCATTTTTGCACAGTGTATGCATTTTCGTCATGGTTATAGTCCCCGTACAATTTCCACCCCCCCTTGTTTTCATCCTACTCCCTCCTTCTCCCCACCTCCGTATTGTGTCTCTGGTTTATAGTTGCTTGTTGATTTTGATTTTTACTTTATGACAATTAGTCTTTTTCCTGGTCCCTTATTTAGGTTTTCTGAATTCCTGCTATGAGTGAGACCATCTGGTATTTTAACCTCCAACTTCTTCCTTTCAAGCTTCAGATATCACCTGATTTTCTTTCCCAAAACACAGATCTGAGGTGGTCACTTTCTGCTCAAAAAACCTGCATTATTTACTGTCTCGGGAGCAAAAACCTCAGCTCTAGTTCAGTCCTCCTTGATGTGATCCCACTTGTCCACATTGGGAGCCTTTTAAGTTCCCCAGTATTGCTCATACAGTCATAGGGCCAATTCCCATATATACATTTCACTGCTTGTTCGCCATCTGGATTGTCCTTTCCCCTAGTCTGTGGGAGGAAAATGCTTTAAGACCTAATTAATTTTTCACTTCACATGTGAACTCACTGGACTTGAGCTATATTTCAGCTGAGGTTGGGATAAATCTCTCGACCAAAGTGTTTCCATAATTCTCAGTTGGTGCAGCACATTTAGGCTGCCTTACAGTACAGTTTTTGTGTCCATGAGTCTCCAGAGAGACAGGTGTCAGGTCTTAACCACATTTATATTCTGTTACAGTGTTTCATGTAATGTTCCAGACATACGGATGAAATTAAATGGATGTTGGGTTAAAAATGTTAAAAAATGTAGAAATCAGAGGATTTGCTTCTCATTTGCTTTGTCCTGTATCTGGATTCGATTTGTATAATGTGGGAAAATTGGTTTCATTCTTTCTTTAAGAAGTGTTTTGTATTCACTTATAGAAAGATAGCAATGGAGGTTAAAGACATGATCTGTAGGGAAAGAATGTATAATTTAAAAGTGTTCTGTAGATCTTCTGAAATCTTCAGATTTTTTTTTTTTTTAAATTTGGAAGCTCACAATCTAGAAGGGGTATTATAATTACTCTATTGAGATCAAATGAGGTTAAAAGGAGAACCAGAGATTGGGAAAGACTAGCATTTTACCTTTAAGTTGAATAATTTACCTATGAAGACAACTCCAATCTCATGCTATTTCATTAATATAATCCTATAACTTTTACTTACATTAATTAAGAGGAATTGCTAATAATGGTCATCGCGAAAGATCTAGCATACTGAATTATGTGCAGTATGACTTTGGACAAGTATTTATAAATATATTTCTTTGTATGTTGGCTTTACACTAACTACTTTATCTGAGTACACTAATTTACTACTTTTTCTGAGTCTAGTGCACAATGTTACCTTGTGCAAATTAGTTACATTTTTCCCCATTTAAAATTACCCTTCTTATGTTAGGTTTTAAATGTAACATACTTTAATGGGATACTCTAGCTGCTATTAATATTTGAAAGATTTTATGTTATCTCATTTATAATTTCAACAAAATCATTTCATGGACCCTCTTATTGAAACCAAAATACCCAGAGTTGGAATTCTAAACTTTTGCCACTTGACCACTTAATCTTGGGCAAATTATTTAACCTTTCTGTACCTCATCAACAAAATGGCAATAACAATGCCTCTCTCTGTCACAAGGTTTCTGTGAGGTTGATGTCATTTTTTCAACTCCAAAATGAAATGAAAATGTAGCGATAAAACAATGAGAAGTGAGTTCTAGTGAAACTCAGGCATTGATGTGCCGGTAAATGTGTTAAGGTAGACTGGGTGTCAGAGAAGAAACCCTGATTTGTAGCATTTGCTAATTTCAGAGGTATAAATTCCCCATTTGTCTGATTTCAAGCTATCAAAAATGACATGACTAGAGAGAGCGAGAGTTTAGAAGAGGGGAACACAACTGGTTCTCTAGAATGTCTATGAGCCAGCTCCACCACATCACAGACTTTTAGGGGGAGACCTTTCTATATACCTTTGCTTTTTATAGGGTATAAAGAAAAGTAAAATTAGTCCACTGAAACTTAAAATCATAGCTGAATAATTTTCCTGTTGAAAGACTATTTTGTAAAGTTCCTTTTGTGTTGTAACTATGGGATTGTTCATAAAAAATCAATACCTTTAATTCAAAGTAGCATTAAGTCTTAGGTGAGTTTTGTAGGGTAAATAAAATATAGATGTTTGTCTAAAACTCACAAAACTTCTTCCTTTTAGGAAATTGCTTCCAGTGATTGTGTTCCTTTATACCCAATTAAGCACATACAATAAATTTATAGGACAAAAAGAAACAAGCATATTTTAGGCATTGAAACATGTATTTTAAACTGATGATGTGTAGTTCCTTACAGACTATTGTTAGTTGGTCATACCTACCATGTACCCAGCTGGCTTTCAAAATGATCTATGTACTTTTTGACAGGCATTGTGGCAGAGCTGTTAAAAAAGCATAGACATTAGAGATAATTCCTGGGTTCAAATCCTGGCTATGATTTATTATATACCCTTAGATGAATTTTTGGTGTCTCTGTGCTTCAGTACTGAAAAGGAAAAAATAATAGTACTTCCCTGGCTAACTTGTGAAGATAAAATGAATAAAAATTTATTTCATTCAGAAAGGTCTTAGAATAATGCCTGACCTATAGTAAGTATTTGTGCTGTTGTCATTTTTAAATCTTTAATTTCACATACTTGGCAAATTGTTATTGAATCCCATACACAGAATAGATTATTCAATTTTTTGAAGCTGATTCTGCTTATATTCCAAAGAAAGGTCAAAAAAAAAAACAGGTTCTTATTTGCATTACTAATGCTGAAATAATTCCTGGTAAACTCCTTTTCATATTGAGTTATTTGTGGTTTCATGGATGCTACAATTCATAATCTTTTTGTCCTGAGAAGAGTATTAGCAATAACTGTATTGTACAAAATGTATACACTCTTTTACAAAAACCAGGAGGTGCTTTGAACAGGAATGTTTTAAACTCTTTGTAGAGGAGAAAACCGATCTGTCAGGATTATCTTATAGTTAATCATTCCCCTTTGGAATGCTTCTCTAATATCTGCTCCCCCCTTAGCAGAGTTGGCGTCTCTGCTTTAGGTTACCAGTATACTCACTCTATACCTTTCTTTAGCTCTTCTCATTCAATTTTGTAGAAATTGGCTCTTGCATCTCTTTATTTCTTTTCTGTTGTCTTCAACACCTTTTACAGTACCTGTCATTTAGTAAATGGCTAGTTAATGATGAGGAGGGATTGAATCAATGAAAAGAGCATTCCCTTTGTGTATTTAATTATAAATGCCTACAGTTAACCAAAATTTTGAATTATTTGCCCAGTGAGAACTGTTTAATCTGATTGGCATACAATTTGGCTGTGGCCAGTGGACTTTTTCTTTTGTCCTTCTCTTTTCTCAGGCAGAAAACTTGGAAGATAAGAATATGGCTAAAGCTCATCTTTGTCAGCTAGAGAAGTTGAAATCACAGTGTGACAGGCTGACAGAGGAATTATCCCAGAATGAAAATGAGAACAAAAAATTGAAGCTAAAATACCAGAGTTTGAAGGACCAACTGGAAGAAAAGGTAAAAGAGGAATGAATTTTAATTTAAAGGATATTGAAGTATTTCTTCTATTACATAGCATATATAGTCATAAATGCTAATTCTAGTCTTATTAAAGTTTTATTGATGCCAAAAAAACCTGATAGTAGTACATTAGAATGCTGTGATTTTTATTCTTTTAGTAAGTTGATTACCTGCTAATACTTTCAGTTGAAAATTTCTTCTGGATCTTAAAATAGAAGTTTTGAGGCAAGGTAACAACAAAAAAAAATGAATTATTGTTTTGTTGAGGACCTACTATTATATGTCTGGTATTTATGCCAGCTGACTTACATATTTCAAGTCATTTAATTACCCCAACTCTTTGGGTTAGTTTTTATTAATCCCTTTTAACCTATGAGGAAACTGGGGCTAAAAATAAAATTCAAAAAGAAACACAATACTTTAGTTATTACTATGTGCTGGATAATTTTAATGCTCATAGTATTTTATGAAAATTGATACTATTATGTACATTTTAGCTGTTGCAGAGACTGAATTATGAAAAGGTTGGTAACACTGTAACATTCCTACCAGGCCCCCTGCTTTCCTATTAGTAGATGTGTAAATTTATTTTGCATTCTGCTATATATCAGTTATTGGGTAGAATACTAAGAACTTTTAGTCCCTGTTTTTGGGAATCTTTTGTGGCAAGAAGTAACTAAGGATACAGGACAGAATATTTGAATTTGCTTTCTGTTTATTTCTAACAACCACCTAAAGGAATTTGCAATGGAGTGTGGTGGAAGTCAGGTGTACAAAGGACCCGTGAAGAGTGGATAATAAAATAAGGCAGTATAGATATGGTCAAATGAATCCTATATTTGAATAGGGTTGCTAAAATCTATGCTGAAGGAGCAGTCATTGGGTGAGGTGCCATAATGAACTTCAGTGAAAAAAACTTCAATTTTTTTTGTCTGTAAAATTCACTATAATTTACTTATTTTTAACTTTCTAGTAATTGTTAAAACCAAATACATAAAATATTAGTTTAGACGTTATGATTAAATGGGTTTAAATTGCTAAAATTAGGTGTACAATCTTTTTTTTTTTTTTAAGATTTATTTATTTATTTATACAAGCACTGGGTACAGTCAGAAACGTGGGAGGGTGAGAGAATTCACCAGAGCCAGAGCTGGGAGCAGACCTGGTAGACTGATGAAGTACACTGCTGAGGGGAGCAGTGGGCATGGCAGGAGAGGTCTGCTCGCCATGTGGGACCCTTGCTGGCGGCCAGGGATCAAACTGGTGCTGCAGAGACTGCGGGCAGCTTCACATCCCAGCACTCAACCATTGCGCCACTGGGGAGGCCCTAGGTGTACAATCTTGACAACCGTTGCAATTTAGTTCTTATGTCCTGCCTTGTTTTGTCTACTGTTCACACATATTTCATGTTATCTGTTGCCAGGTTGTAGTTGCTGTGGAGATAATGTTAAATATTTCAACTTTTCCTTAATTAAAATTTTAGCTAGAAGACTGTGTTAACATGTTTTATAGTTTATTTAATTGGATTTAAGAAACTGCTGAAATTTTTGATCTGTTGAAAATATAAAGTTTACCTTGCTCTGCTTAAAATAAATGTTTCTGCATGGATTCTATTTGTGATGTTCCAAATATATCTGTGTTATCACACATTCATAAAAATGAAACATTTACCTTAGAGCAGAATTTAAGAGTTAAATGTGGTATTCCATTGCTATCTATTGAGCCCATCTAACAGGCCTTGTGATGAGTGCTAAGGATAGATTTCAGGTAAGACACTTGTCTAAAACTAAATGCTCATAGTAGGATCATTAAAAACAAAATCCTTCATAGGTTTTAAAACTATATGGTTGCATCTTGACAATGTTGTTAATGCAGAGAAAAGATAGTCTCTGTACTCTAAATTGGTGATAGTCTTAAAGATACATAGATAATATGTATATGTACAGCTTATGGGCTTGTTTTTCTCTTTTTTTTTTTTTTGCTTATGTACTTGTTATATACTCTTGATTTATTTATGTTGACCTTAATGCTCTTAACTGTGATTCAAAATAATTTTGGCTTGCGCCATCTACAGATAAGACCTTTCTCTTCTGAGTGGTAGTATTGCATTAATGAACCTAGACAGAACTTTTAAGTGTATGTAATTTTTCAACTGTGTAGCTTTAGGCCACTTTCTTGAAATTCAGTCTTAGCTTTACCATCAAAACAGTTTAATAATGTAAGAATATGTAAAGTGCTTGGCAGAGTATCTGATATCTAATAAACTATCAGCTAGTAGCTACTAACTGACTGTTATTGGTTATGTTTCCAAAAATATGCTGATCACTGGAGCAATTAACCAGTCAGGAAGATTTGATTGATTGCCAGTGATCCCTTTCATAGAATGGATTAGTTGAGGGCTGGAAAACTGGAAATAGGATTACTGCAGAACTATGTTGATTGGAAGTTTAGAGCCTGACTGTTTTGAATCATTTGCGATATAGTGTCTACAAGGGAGGGACTCCTGAATAGAGCTGGCAGTTTTCTCAGTAACTGATGTTGAAGTACAACTGAAGGCACATATGTTAATCAAACCAAGCAAGTGGGCAGCTTTATAATTGTTTGTTATTTATCCAAATCTTGATTGTTTTTCCATCTGTAAGACCAGTCACAGAATCTGACACATAAAACATAATTTATAAACAAATTCTGGATAAAATATGTATTTACACATCTATGCATGCACCATGAAGAAGTATAGATATACATACATACATTTTCTTTCCCTCCCCTACACCCTTCCTGTGTTGACCAGACCAGCAGAAATAAAAGCAAGAATACAAGACAAAAATACATTTTCAGTCCTGTGACTCAAAGTCATTATGACTTGTAGCCCAAGAGTTACTATTTAAGTATTGCAGTGAACTTGAGAAATGGGTCTTTATGGTTTTAAGGGGTTTCTAATTCAACTTTGCTGTAGTAAAAAGGGAAGCCTTTCTTGTTTGCCTAATCAAGTGGTATTCTGTCTGGCTTGTCCATCCCCAGCATAAATATACTATGTATATGTTACTAATACACATCCCCCTCCACCTTTTTGAAAAAGATGTCTTGCTATATTTTAACTGCATACTTGGATTTAAGTCTGCATTTCTTGTGATGTTATTACTTGGGAAGCTAAGAAATGTTAAAACTGCATCAAAATTCATATAAACATTACCATTAGCAGCCTTAATCTGTATAGACGATTGCTGGTTGTATGTAAATACAGAATCACTAACTTTAGCTTATTTCTTCATGTATTCAGTGGTGATATGTGGTAATAAAAATGATTTTTCTCAATTTCTTTTTTTAACACCAAATGTTATTTTTTCAATTTTGCATAACAAAAAGAACAAGTATACAGCCCACAGAATTTTTATATGTGCATTTAAGATTTTATTATGAGCTTTTTTTAAAACCAGGGAAAAAGCTTTCATGAAATGTTACAAAAATAATTTTCTGCTATCATACAATTAAAATTTTGTTATTCCTTTTTGTTTAAAATATTAAAGTAAAATATTTAGTTTGTTATTCGAAAGGCTGTTTTTCTAAGAGCATCTTATTGATGTCAATCTTTTTATTCTTCTGGCATTTACCTGGCAGCTCATAATGCTGTTTATTCTATCAGAATTTTTTTTATTGGTTTCACTGAAATCTGTGATTCAACAGAAGAGTTAGTTTATAATTAAATAATTTACTCAGGAAGTCAGCATCAAGATTTACATAGTGAAAGTTTTAAATGTCTGTGCTATTCAGTATCGGATCTAACTTTTAAAGTGTTTCAGTAAAGTAAGCATGAACTTATTAGTGATCCTGGCCATATATATAGAGCTTTCCAAGTAATCATATGTATTAAAAGATAAATCAGTTTATCTTTATCCCCCATGTGGGATGATGCTCTGTGCACAGCTTTGTGTTCTGAATTTGCACGTCATTGAACGTTCTCCAAAATCATGTTTATTTTCCATCCAATATTCATCTGGTTAATGCAGCATTCTTTTGTTGTTTGGATCATTTGTGTCTTTTCTCCTTAAGAAATTATAGATTGAATAATTTTTATTGTGTATAATCCAGTACTTTCCACATTTGGAGCATTCATTTGTTATGGTTACTGCTTTAATTTTAAGCAGAATTATGAGACTATGCTTCTTGCTACTGGATACCCAAAACTGGAGGAAGCCATGCATATATGTTCCCTCATTTTACTTTTCTCCCTTGATGTACTTCTAGTCACAGCTATATGCGGAACTTCCTTTGTTCTGGGAGATGTTGTCATGAGGGTACCCATGCCTAGTTACTGCTAGCCATGGCAATGATGGAGGATTGTTCAGTAGTTTCTGTTTTTCTACCACACAAAAGTCTATGTGGAGCTTTTGTTTTTAACAAGCATTGTCTCAGGATTTACAGGGTACCATTGGTCTCATGTGACTAAGGTGGTATCCCCCCAAATATTTGACATCAGTTTAGTTCTAACATGTAAAAGGATCTTAAACAATATCAACTAGCGATGCCTTGTTTTATAGATGAGGTGATTCTGGTCCAAAGAATTAATTCACTAGCTCAAGTGCTCCCAGCTCTCTTTTGGTATAAATGGAAATAGGCCTTAGGGTTACCAAACCTTTTTTCCTGTTGTGTCAGAATCTGACCAGAATATAGATTATGTAGGTGATCTAGGATCATGTAATAGTTGATTTCTTCCATAATTAAGTTAATTGTCTTTAGGGGATCATATTTCGATTACTAGTTTTTCAGGAAGTGAGACTAATTACAATGAAACAATTAGGAAATACTCTTAAGACTGTAAATTTTGAGACATCTAAAGCTATAGGAGTTCATAAGAACTCCTATGGAAATGCATTTGTGTTTCTTAGAAATGTATTTGTGTTCCTTACCATGAAATGCTTGATTTTACATCATTTGTGGAGTGACACCTAGCAACCTATTTAAGCTGTGGTGATATTGGATAAAAATGCTTAGGA